TGGGGGGAGAGGGAGCGGGAAGTATTTTTTCCAGTTTTGTATTTGCCGAACACTAGGTTGGGTAAACAATTTTTTTTCCAAAATATGCGAAAACGGTAATGACATCACAGGGTTTTTCAATAGTTTTTCAATTATCGATAGCGCATTATCAAAAAAAATTTTCGATTGAAAATAGGCGTAGTTTGTAGAAATGCTCCATTTTTCGGATAGTGATGTTAGGAATTCAAAAAAATCCTTGGAAGAGTACCATTTTCAAGAATACTCTCTCATAGCGCGCTGCACACTCTTTCCCCTCTTCTCATCTTTAGCGTTCATTTACAGCCGCTACAGTAACCCCACAGTATCAGTACCGTACTTGGGAGAGGTAGTTGTTGGAAAATCTAACGGATAGATTTATTGTATGTACTAATGTGGAAAATTCGAACGAATAGTTTCATCTTATGGTACGTATGCAGTCGCCCCTCTCCCAAATTTGAAATTCTTTATCCTTTTCCCCTCTCCTTGTCCAAACCCGCTAATACCCATCAGATAATCATCTTAATGGCGCTTTGTTTCGAGTTGTTCCGTCCGTAGCCTGCTGAATTTTCAAACCTGTGCTGTATAGGAAATTATTCACTAACATAAAATTTTAGGTGTTGTAATGCGGATTTGCTTATACAGCTGCACAGCTCTATTCGAGACTATTCTCCCATGCATGTTTATAATTCATAGAATCACATGACAATGACGACACAGAACTTTCCTATGACCCTCGTCATTGTTTCCGAAGTGATTAGATCGCTTTCCTGACATCCAGTTTCGAAATATTCTATTTTAGCAGAACAAGAGTGAATTGCACTTTTGTTACAGAGCGCCTACAGTATGCTACAGTATCCAAATTAGCTGCCGCTTGGTCTCTTTGTGTAGTATTGTACTTTTCCGATTTCTCATTCGTAATCATTTCCGCCTGCTATAGTAAAATCTTACCCACTAGTAGAAGTGAAAGCCTATTTTGCACTGTTGCTACAATATACCTACAGTACTGCTACAGTACATGAACTTGTCGAATGCTGCTAGAATCTACTTTCACCTTTCGGATCTCATCCGTATGGCGCTCTTTACCTTCGAGATCGCACTTTCACAGTCATTTCTGACTGCCACAGTAAGCCTACCGTACCGGTAGCATTGTATGTGCTTTCGTTACAGTATGCCTACAGTACTGCTACAGTGCCTTAAGTACCGCTACAGTACGAAAGCTTCTCGGATGCGTGCTAAACTCCAGCTATTCCGTTGGGTCATTTGCATGGGGCTTTGTCCCTACCATCTTTTCGCTTTCTTTTGGGCTTAAGGCAATCTTACAGTTTTAGTACCGTACTTTGCGCTCTTGTTACAGTATGCTTACAGTACTGCAGCGGTACCACAGTCCTAGAATTTTGATCGGACAGTTTTCCCCCGAAGTAATTATGCGGCGCTAAAGACTTTCCACTTCCTACTTTTTCCACTCATATTTGGCTGCCAAGTGGTCTCCTACCGTATCAGTACCGTACCAATTCTTCCCTTGGAAGTGCTCCTGCTTTATGCGGCTCTCTTTCATCACAATATGGAATCTCTTTTGTGAGACACGAGGCTACCGTAAATCTGTTTCCTATTGATCCATGGTTGACCCAGATCTGTCGTCGATGCATATCAGCATGGCTACATGGGCTGACGGATGTTGGCCTAGCAATTTCTGTTCAGGGAAGTCATATCTAGGGATCCAGAACGCATATCCTTTGTTTTCTTATTGGGGGAAGCCACGCCAACTTCTTGAAGTAGAATCACTAAGAAGCACAAATCATCTTCAGAAATCCCTTCTTTTTTTAAGGGGTAAAGTCGAAAGAGACCGAAAAGATTGCGCTATTAGGATTTTTTGCAATTGTAACATCTAAATCTTTCATTTTTCACATCTTAGCCCTCATTTTCCCTGAAAAAATCAATAACCAAGGTAATAAATACTAATAATCAACTTGTCATTTGTCTAGAGTGTGATTTACGATATACACATAGTCATTTATGGGGTAGTAAGTTATGCTTATGTCTCTTGGAGGGTGAATTATCGGTCATATGAAAATTTTTCTCTGGACTCTCTGTTAGTCTTGGGCATTTTCCATTTGTTCTATCGTGCTTTCCCAGTTCTTTTCTCTTGCAGTTAGAATATTTTTTTCTTATTTTTGTAAGTTTAGCCAGAATTTTGTTTGGTCATTAAGCTTTGGAGGAGCTATTGTGGATGATTTGAAAACTGCAAGGAGGGGGATCACGACCCAATATATTTTTCAATAAATTGGGTAACATTAGGTGAAAATTGAGGTCTGGCGGTTACTTCATGGAAATTTATACTTCTTTTAACCTATGTTTATCATACTTTCTCCCTTGGTATACATCCCCCCTCCCCGGCCTTAAAACCTGCGTATTTTACTGCTGCGAGTGTGATTCAGCGCAAGCACTTTAGCTATTTAACGGGGCGCATATGTGTATGGGGTGCTGGGGCTGGCGAGGTCGTACCGATTAATCTCTCGACATTGAAATTTACTGGAGAGCAATCACTTTGAAACTATGTATGCTGGTGATTTAATTAGGCTCTCGATATGATTGCATACACGGAAAGACCACCGATCATATTGTTCGATAAGGTCCATAGAAGGCGTTTACTCCATTGGTTACGCAAAATGGTCTTCTGAGTCTTCTTACCCGACACGCTGATGAGTTTTTCTCTATTGCTACAGTACACCTACTGTACTGCTACAGTGCACCTACAGTACCGCTACAGTACACCACTTGTCCGTGCTGGTTGTGGTTGTGGGTGATCACACCTTGTGGCGTTTCACATTTCTTGTTCGTTTTTGCTACAGTAATCTTACAGTATCGGTAAGTGACACGTTCTGTGCTATATACAGTATACCTACAGTACTGGATAGTGCAGCAAATTGTCAGGTGCTGGTCGAGTACCGCTTATTCTTACCTTTGTGTGCCGCATCAATTGGCTTTGAGCCTGTCACTTTTTATAACATGTCAAAAATGGCCCACGGTTAGATCCTGCTCCTGTATAACTACAGCAAAAATACCGTGCTTCACGGCTAACTTCTGCTCCAACGCAACTTCATACTATTAGTCAACAAAGATTCCACTTGAAGCTGAAATGTTGTGCAGGAGAGTTGCCATTATCTGCATCTTTTTTGTAACCTTCAAAAAAACATGACTCATGGCTAGATCCTGCTCCAGTACGTACCTCTCGCAAACTCCCCAGTGAGCCACAATTTGAGCAGTGAAATACTGATAAATTAGATGTCGCTCTGGTGGATTTTTAACCTGTTAAAAAACATGACCCACGGATAGCTTCTGCTCCACCACAGTTACCGTATCATCCATTGACACAAATTTCCCATAAAAATCACATATTTGACAATTATTTTTGTGATAATAACGTCATAGCACATAATTTCCCACTGTGAATGATTCTTTTCATAGATAATGGTTGATTTGCTTTTGATATAAATTCGTAGAACAATCACATTCACAGCTTCTCCTCTGTTCATCCATTTCTCTGATTCAAAAGTAGTCGATCGATAATCGATTTTTGTTGGATTAGCTGGTGCACATTGTGATTGTGTGATCGATTTGATGAGAGCATTTATTAGACGAGATGACGATTTACAGAATGATTCATTATTGATGAATAGTGTCATCATGAGCTGCTGCTTTCTCTCTCTTGATGTTGCGCTTTGCTTTGCTTTTACAAGCCTATTCAAATGTAAAATTACTTTAACTACATTGTACTTGTCTGTGTAGTATTCTGCGTCTTTGTCTTAACTCTCTTCCTCTATGCATTCTTCGTTTTCCGGAACATCCCGCGAATTCTCTGATGATGAGTACTGTACTTCTTTTACATCCGTTTCGTTTACTTCATTGATATAATTTTCATTGAAACTACTTCTGCACCACCATACATCACGTACAGTAATGCTACAGTAATACTACAGTATCTCAGAGAAAAATCATTCGATGAGCATATTATACTTACTATTTATTGATAACTTCCAGACTACTTCAAAGAGTAGTAATGAGTATACCTCCTCTAGCCGCTCTTTTGAAGGGACATCGTTTCATCCACAGTAATATTACCGTAATGCTACAGTACCCTTTTTTAAGAATCTCATTTATTTTCGATGATGAATATACTACCTCTTCAGTTCTCTCCTGACTTCCTTCAATCTATCAAGAGAAATCCTTTGCAAACTACTTTTGATAAACGTCTTACCACTTACAGTAACTACTGCTACAGTAGTCCTACAGTATCATTTGTTTGGATCTTGCATGTTGTTACAGCTCTCTTTCAGCTGTTGTTGTAAATCATTCGTTCACAACTGCTTTTAAATGACATTACATCACTCGAAGTAGTGCTCCAGTACGGGTAGGGGAACGAACCCCGCCGGTTTGAACGTCTGATTACTGGTCCTGCAACGACATGCAACAATACTGCAATAGGATCAGTCGCCAGCGAAGGCGGAGTCAAACTGGCGGAGTTTGTTCCCCTACCCCTCCTGTACTGCTACAGTAATCCTACAGTATTACGTGCTCACTGACATCTTGACATGTTGTTACAAGAAGTGGTTTTCGATCAAAAACCACTTAAGCAGCGGTCTTGTGTGGTGATCTCATGCGTTGTAAATATTTATCACCCTCTCTAACGTCATTGGTTGAAACACTTCAGCTACCGTATACCACATAGCACTTGATATCTAATCAAACGGCTGCATTTGTTACATTCCTTGCGTATTGCAGAGAATTTCTTTCTTGTCACTTGCTTTCTGTTGATTTTTTCTTGATCGCTTATCTTGACTGTGATTGTTGGAATCATTGATCTTTCTGATTTTTCATAGCTTTCATCCGAACCTCGTGCTTTTCTTATCAGTTTGTCATCTTCCGTGATATCGCGATCCTCGTGGTTCCCTGGTCTTTCAATCGATAATCGATTACTTTTTTCTAGTGTGATGAACACTCTGATGCAGATGGGTCCCATGATGGTAATGGAAGGTCCGAATGGTATGCATCAGGCGTTCCCGCAACCCTCACAACATATACAACAAGCACCACCAATCACATCCAGTATGAACAGATCACAAAGGTGAGATCATCGATCGATATATTGATTTTTTTGCTCAAAAAATCGCTAAGCAAATCCGTGAACTATGGACTTTTGCAAAAAATGCGGTGGAGTGTTTGAGTGCCTGCTTGAGCTAGCGCTATGGTGTTCGTTTTGTTTGCTACACAAAGATGAATCAGATCATCCAATGAAGTTGAAGTGATCAATCAATATTTATCTATCAATCAATAATCCATTACTACAGTATGCCCCCTACAGGGATTTCTAGCGATTTACCGGAATTTTTCCTCTTTTCCTTTCGGAACCCGCTTTTTGTTCGGTAGTATAGGTAAATCAGATTATCGATGAGTTTGACTTGTCCGATCAATAATTTTTTCCAATCAATAATCAATCGCTACAGTATGCTTGCCCCTATTCTGAATTTCTAACAAATTACCTGGTTTTTTTAACCCTTTTCTAACAAAAATTCGTGCTTATTATTCTGAGATTATTACCGTAATTTATTTTTATGTTTTTATATAGGTTAGAGCGTTGTTTTGGTAATTAGCTGCAATTAATCCCAACCGTAATTGACCTCATTCTTTCACATGTCTTTTTGAACTGACCCCATTATCCATAAACTGCCGAGGATTACGTCACACACGATTAGTCGTCATTTGTCCGGTAGACTTGGTCAAAAACATGAAAAATTTTTGAAGAAAAAATTAAACGGGAAACTTTTCTAGGGGCATAGAAAAAACGTAGGAATAAGGATGAAATCAGAAAAGGTCACGTGATGTTTTTTTGTACAAGAAACATAGCGTAATTACGTAATTGCACAATCCATTGTTGTCATCAGAAAATTTTCTCCATAGAATTATAAAAACAAAGAATAGTGCAGCTCATAGAAATGTCAACTTTCGTGTAAGGTCGTACCATCGCGCAGCAACTTATGGAGGCGGGTTTTGACGCAAAAACGCACAATATTGACAACAGCAGTTTGTAGTCATTTTTGATCGTATCTAGAATTCTTTGTAATTATTTTTTACAATCTTACAAAAATAAAAATTCTTAAATATAATGTTGATGTCAGAATATCGATTTCATTGATTTTTTCCAGATGCGGTGTATGCCGCGGATGTCAGTGCAAACCATGCGGACAGTGCACTTATTGTCAAGATAGCCCACAATTTGGAGGACCTGGTGTCAAAAAACAAAGTTGCATCGAGAGGAGATGTCTACGTGTGTTAGAAAACAGACTACAGGTATCGATATATTCGTATCGATCGATTATTGATTGGTTTGTTGTTGGTCGAGGACAAATGATTTCTAGGGCGCAGATTAAATTCTTTGAATTTCAGAGAGACGCTCCCACATTCAAGGCTCGTGTTGGCTGTAATCAATGCGAAGATTGTCGTATGCCAGATTGTCAGATTTGTCTAGTCTGCTTAGATAAAAGGTTCGTTACCGTAATCCTACCGTAATCATACAGTAACCCAAAAAGTATTTTTGCAGATTTTTCGATAACCGTTACATGACCGGTGCAATGTGTGCAAAGAAACGTTGCAATAATGCGACAAGTATTGAATTGCCAGCACAATCACCACAATCTATGCACGAATTTCAACAGAGACAGGTGATTTTTTGCGCGATCACGGGGACTTCCCATTTATGGACTTTGCCCTAAATAACTCGAATTCCTTCTATGAGTCACACTACAATTCCTAGGCACAAAAACGCGCCTATGATCAAGCGGCACCACCGCCTATTCATTTCGATATGAAACGTCGAGGTATGGACATGAACTATGCGGCAATGTCTATGCAACAATTACAACCACATTCACCACAACTTGGACCCCCACAAGGCATGGGACAACAACAGGGACCACCCGGAAATGCGCGTATTTTAGCGATTAACCCGGCGATGAATTATGGTGAGTTATGGTTGTATTTGTGTTCGCTGCGTGTTGAATGGCTGTAGTGTTGTGCCCCTGAACTTTGCTTGTAGGACAAAATATTAGAAACGAAATTGTGTAAAAATTGAGGTCAAAGTTTGTTTCCTAGAAACTTCATCTGTCCGTTTTACCGGTAGGGGAACAAAATCCATTAGTAGGCGTCTCCCCTCGGACTACTGATCCTTTCGCCCATGCTACTGCATACCCGTGAAAACCACTTGTCCGCGGGGATGGCCTCTAAGACCCCGGACAGACTTCACGCGATTTGATCGTCGCGACTGAATCGCGACGAGACAACTGTTACAACATCATTCCACGCCGATCAACCTGCATTTCGGTTGTGATGCTTTTCCAGCCCGAAATTTTTGAATGTGATATGAAAATGAATGGAAATGCTGGCGATTGAGTCGCGACGATCAAATCGCGTGAAGTCTGTCCGGGGCCTAATGACGGAATTCGTTGTTGTGACCATTTCCAAAATCTTACGCTTACCTTCGCAATTTAGGGGCAATATAGCGGTGACCTATGCTGCACTTATAAGTTTTCCGATTTTATGGGTTAGTGTAGAGGTACGGTAGGAATAAGGTAGGAGCACGAATCATTACACTGGTATCGCTGGAACTGGTATGGCTTTGATAGCTTCTTCATTACGTTTATATGGATACTTGGTACTATAGCGACAACTTTCTTTTTTTATGGGATATATGAAGTACGGTAGGAGTACGGTGGGAATGCGGTCAAAGATATAAATCATCGCAATGAATTGCTGAGATAGGTAATGTTTTAATAACTTCCTCAATAGGTTTTTGTCGGTGCTCGTGTAGCCAGATGTGGCGTACCCTCAAGTCATAATACGGTAGGTGTACTGTGGCATATGTGTTTGGGGTTTTGACTTTGATTGCTCATACTTTTAGATTCTTTATTATATAAGGGCGCAGTCAAGCAACCAAGGGAATTTTAAGATCCCCGCCCTGGTAGGCCACTAAAATCTTTAGGGAGTGTATGTGCGAGCGCTGGGGAATATATGGCACAGAATCTGATGATGCTGCTTTGATAACTGCTTGAATGATAGAATCAGCTTCTTATCGATGTCGTGTTGTGAGCATGTTCGTCACCCTCGAATATTTCAGATTTTGCAGGCCTCCCAGCTATGGGAGCCCCGCGAATGCTGCAATGTGGACCACCACCGCCACCGCCGCCACCATTGAATGAGCCATCCTATCTTCTACCAACCTATGGTCATACATCTCCCACACCGGTTGACTTCTACAATCCGAAGTCGTACACATTTGAAGAGATCACACCCAATGGCGATCCATTCATTCCACCCAGTTATGCGCCCGAGATGAAGAATGCCGTTGTACTGCAGCCTCTATAGTGTGTTGATGTATCTTTGGCTGTTTACCCACGACGGCAACTCTTCTTACCTAGGTAATGATCGTAGTCTGTGATGTAAAACGAAGAAAAACCGCGTCATAATTTTTTTCGCAGAAGCGCATTATATCGTTGTTAATAAGGTACGAATTGTGATTTGTGCCCACTTCGCTGGGCAGTGGGTGGATTGAGTTCGGCTTAGAGCGCAGATATTTATAGAGCTATTGAGAGAAGTTCACAATCCGCCACTGCTCGCCAGGCAGGCACATCCCCCGTAATCAGTCGCGCGGTTAGGACCGGGCTTGACCCCCCGCACACGAACCAGGAACCCACAATAAACCTCTTACCACACGGGTGCTAGCTACTTGAATTGTTGCGAACACCAGTGCATTGTTGTGCCTCCTTCTAGCATCTATAGCAAATTCCAAGCAGCCACCACCCCCTTGTTACCGTAACCTCATGTCATGACAAATTCGCGTCAGGACACCACTCACATACTCTTTCTTATCCTAGGTCAAGCTCAGCAGTGAAGAGTCGCAAATCCATAGAATTTAGGCTATGCTCATCTTCACTCATCTTCATCAAAACGCGCCAACTTAATCTCTTTGCCCCGTAGAAACCGGCCCTCAAACTCCGTCCCCGCTCGCTTCCACCCCGCCCCCTCACTACCCGTTTTCGTACTCCGATGTTACTGAAACTTTCTATGCCGCATCAGGGACTGTTACGTTTATTATCCTTTTTTTCTCTCTAATATTTCTCTTGCTACAAATGAATATTATCCATTTTCATGATATTTTTCCATCCTACACACGCTCTACAGTTTTGTTATGTTGTGCAATGTGCTATCACTGCTGTTCACTCCCGTTTCTCGAGCTTCCCTCACTCCCAATGAACACCTCCACGAATACGAACTCCTCCCAATACTCTCTCCCCTAAAATTGTAACTCCTCCCCCAAAGTAGGCGAGCATGAGATGTGCTGAAAAATGCGCCTCTTACGCATGCTTTTCATTTCTGATCACAACGGCCCCGAAACTTTGTTTATTGATTTATTGATTTTTCTCTGTATGCTAAGCAATATTCGTTTTTATTCTGCAAGTGTTTAAATGTTGTCGAGTGCCTTATATCTCGTTATTTTCTTCTCTCTATTTCACTCCTCTATTTTCACGAGCAAAATTCCCTTGTCGTGGTGTCTAAATTGGTTTACTTATGCGCAAAACAGATGCCAAATATATGTTGCACATGTCGTAGGCGTTCTCTATGATACTACTCGGCCTCAGTCCCCGTCCCGCCCCCTAGACAAACCCCGCCCCCGACCAAAATCTACCATGAAATTATTTAGAGCTATTTGTCGTTTCGTTGCGATGTGTGTTTTCTGTTATACGAAATCTATATTACTCAAAATGTGCGCTTTTTCTTTATGTGTTTCTATTGTTTGTTTGTTTATCGATGAGATTTCAATTAGCGCTGAATTGAAGCGCAAGCGTCACGGGCATCTCAGCGTTGTATCGTAGTAGCACCGCCCCCTACCCCATTCTCTCTCTGTCCTTTCTCATCTCCTAATCGATTTATCGATTTTTCTGATGTGACCTTTTTTGTATCTCTCTCTTTGTCTCCTTTCATCCCCCCTTTCTTGGCACCTACCGATGTACAGTGATCCTTCACCGATTTTTATGATATAACACTTTGTAGTCGCAAACTAAGAACAGATTTCTTGCAACACATTTTCTCTCTACTCTTTGTTTGTAAAATATCATTTAGAGATTGAACGTAAGCGTGCTCCAGGTTATTCATTTTGGTGTCAGCATATTGTTTTATATCGAGAAAATTGATAAAGTTTTAATAATACGTGCTTAGGTCACAGAGTTGCTTACAAAGAAAATTAGACGTATTGAACACCGGGCCAAGGTTCTAGCATTGGGATGGAAGGTGTTACCCTAAAAATACCATGTTTTCATAAATTACGTCGAAAGTGAGGTTTGAGTAACTTGTAAAGGTTAAGAACAGCAACAGCATAAGAAAGCCGTTAAGCCGTCTTCCTCTCTTCTACCAGAATATGGTTTATGGCGGTATATCGTTCAAAGTCGGTGATAGGGGAGAAGGCGATTATTGGAGGCTTATCGGTCTTTAGGATGAAAAACCGAGTAACTTCTGTAGATGGACAGGTGGAATCGTGAAGAGTGTCAATAAAGCCGCCATGTTCTTCACTCTCAAAACTTGCGATGCGCTTTGTTTTGACCGGTAGAAAAGCTTTAAATTCGAATTTGCCAGCGTAATTTGTGAGCAACTTGTAGTTCATAAGGTTATAGTAGGGTTAGCATACAGAGATTGGATCATAGTGCATCCCGTCATTTGCTAGAAAGTTTGCTCCATTCTGACAAAGCAGCTATTTGAATACTTTTAAGTCCATCGAAAAGTTTTTCATAATGCAGACAAAATAAGTAAATTTTTGAACCAAAGCAGGCTCTGCCTTTCAAAAGTCCGAGTGTTATCCGAGTCAGGTCTTCAAGAAGCTTTACTCAAGGCTTTTCCTCGACTCACTGTTATCCCAAGAAGAAAATATGATGTAGCGATAAATATAATTTACCAGTAGCACTTAAAGGCAGTGTCCCGGCAGATTTTGCACATCCATCTTTTTGCATGTTTTAGGCCTTTTCGCCACGTAGAATCCGAATTTGAGCTTTGAACGGGCTGGAAAGGCAGATTTTGGGGCGTTTTCCTAGTTCCAAAAAAGCAGCTCGGACGAGATTTTTGATGGAAAGTTGGGAGGGTTCCTCAGACGAAGACCCTGCCGCCTGTAATTCTTGCTTTGGATAGCATGCATCATGGGGGAGAGCGCTCGTGAGGTCCCGCGCCGAACAGAAAAGGAAGGCCGTCCAAGCGCGCGCCAGTTGGGGTTACGCGCGCCGGTTCAAGGGCCATTTTTTCGGCCCAGGAGGAACATCACCCAGCCGGACTGCGCCTGGAGGTCGGTGGAGTGACCAGGAACCCCACCACATGTATATCCCCAGGACCCGAATCTGCCGGGACACTGCCTTCAAAGCTGGTCTGAAGCACAGAATGTCCGTAAGTGGTATAGAAAGGCAAACCTATGAGACTCCTACGTTGAAGATTTTAAGGTTTGCCGCATTCGAAACATACGCGAAAGGACTCTTAATACACCGCTGTTTAGTATAAAATGATGCATTATGTATTTTAGACAGTTGGCGGTGTTCTAACTCTCGTTAATATAGCTGTTATACGCGGCTGAGAAGGACTAAGTATTGTTTATTGGGATGCCTTCCACCTAGCATGCATTCTGCTGGCAAGTAACCCAGTTTTTTAATCTACTTCCGTTCATCCGGTATGCAAGCATGCAAGCATTTTCTGCTTCAAATAGTATGTTGGCTAGGAATTAATTTCGTTTTGACATGCAAATATGCTTTCGAAGAGTCTCAGCAGGGAAGCAGTCTTAACCCTTTACTCTCACATAACAAATATTCAGAATTGTTTCATCAATAAAGACAATCATGCCCTTGTATGGCTAGCCTTCTAGAAATTCTTTCATGACTTTTTAAGAAATGTTTCTAACCTATAACAAGTGCAAAGATGACTGATTTGGTTTGGTAGTTACAAGCTTTAACCATTATGGCGAACAATGAAGATTGTGATCTGCTGTCTGCGAATTTTTGCGTATTATGTAAGAATTACGTAACATTCTTAAGCGAAAATCAATCTTTGGGCCGTTTAAATGGCTTGAGTTTGACCATCTATGTCCATGTAAATGGCTGCAAATAATAAAATCGTTTTTGTGCGTGCGGTTTACACATTTCGCAGTTTACAATTTACCCAATTTCAGCTTGTTTTTTTTTGTTTTCGATATTCTTTGAAAAATTTGGGTATTCTTCTTTTCCCCACATCAAAAAAAGTTTCTGTTCAATTTGATTATCTGATTCCTCATGATTTACACTTTTGATGATGCCAAAGATTTATACAAAAGTTTGTCGGTAACATTTCTACAAATTGTCAAAATAGTCGAAACTACCGAGTTGTCAAAGAAATAATGGCGCTTTTCTCGCAATTTTAAAGCTAAAACTGTTATTTCTCGGAAATTAGCTGGTGCTGCTACAAGTGTGTTCAGAATTGTACTTCCAAAGTTTTGTAGTGTATGATGCTTGAGTGAAGGGGGGGGGGAGACCCAGGTCTGCTAGGGGCGAACTTGCCATTTTTCTGTTTTGCTTTCCTTTTCTCAAAATTTAGTTAAAAATCACAGTAGTTATACATATTAAATTGTAGGTGTGTACTGGCTGAGATCCGACTTTTATGACTCTCAGATCTTCTTACTTTTTGGCTTCCTCTAAATAAAACACGCTGCTGCGAATGTCTGAGTCTTAATAGAAAGCTTGCTTTACTCTTTTGACAGTGTCCCTTATACAACTTTTGTTGCTCGTCCTGCCGCAATAGCATGTTAAGCGTCATTTTTTTTTCGCAACAACTCCTTACTTATTGCCCGTCCTGTTATAGTGCTGTTATTCTAGGTGGCAAGAATAATCGGCCACTTAGAGAGTGAATCTATCCTCAAAGTAAAGAGAAAATCTATAGTATCCCTTCCACAAAGATCTATGCAAAGCCATCGAGCGCGTCATTTTATTAAGATATAATACACTCTTACTCGTCTCAGCCAGTTCAAACTTTGTGCAGTACCAGAGCAACAGAACTCGCGATATGGATGATATCTTTACTACTACAGGTACAACTCTCAAGCTTTCGATTATTTGGTGGTATTAAGGTTATAGCAAAGATAGAAGTAAATGCAAAAGCAGTTATTATCACACCTAAGCCGAATGCAATCATGCCTTTCTTCAATAGACACGAGACGATCACAGATTCAAGTGATATAGGGGGATTGAATAAGGGGAAATGAGAACAGCTAGGCACACAAGATAAGTGAAAGCTAGATAATGAGAAGAGATGAAAAAAGCACGAGATAACAGAAGCACACTTCTTGCTGTGAGTGTAAAGAAATCGAACTGAATTGACCGAAAAATTTTTCGAATTTCCCAAAGTATACGGCTTAGAATAAGTGCGTAATAAGTGAATTCGGAGGCAGGGCTCAGCAGAGGTGGTCTTTCACAAGCTGGATATCGTTTTCAAAGAGGAAGCAAAGGGAAACTCATAAAGTATCCACTCGGAAACCTGACGAAATGTTAAAAAACGCAACTTTAACAACTCTAACTCTTAGCAAGGCCGAGTTCAAAGGTCTAACACAATTTTACCGGTTACAGGTAATTAACACTTTGCAAACACGACAGTTCGTAAACCTGTGTGCTTACGATTTCACCGTGTCAAAACACAATCTTTACGCACAAAATATAAACATCAGTTTGTTTACAACGATTAGGCAATGTTGAGCCACTAAATTTTGGTGTACAACGATGGTTAAAAGAAAAGTACGAAAAAGTGTGAAAAAATTATGTGAACGGGAGCAGTTGTGTTCTTCGATTTTAGGTTGCTCCCGCGCAACCTGGGAGGGAACCGTAACCGCAATACTTTTCTTGTAAGTATCCAGAGGTTGCGCGGAACCAGACAAGATCATGAATCTTCCACGGATTTCTTAGATCAAGTTCTACCACGAGTAGTCACCAGGGTCAAGCGTGGGGTGCGGCACGCCACACCTGGGGGGTCGTATTGAGGAGTCAAAAGGGGAGGGGTCGTAGTTGGGTAACCTGATAATAATGATAACATGGTATTTGTATCATATCAAAATTAGCATGTCATTTAACCCCTGTAGACAAAGTGTGAGCGAATTCTGAAGATTCAAGATACTAGGCTACCTAAATGAAATGGTCAAATTCCAACATGGTTAACTTTGTTTCAAAAGTGAATTAGCTATCCGTTTTTGCACTCAATACAAAGCACTACTCCTTCTTTGTCCACCTCAGGAATCCCGCTTCAGAAGACCTGCAAACTGTGGAATTAGAAGCCAACCAAAATCTCGTTCTTCCCATTTTTGATCGCTGTGCTTTCACCAAATATTACTCAGAGCTAAGAAGACGAATCAGGCTCCAAACAGTCCTATGGAATCTACAAGGTTTAGGCTATCGATTCATAAAAATATTGTCAGCTAAAAATGTTTTTTTGATATAGTTAATGGGGTGCGGCACACCCCCTTAAAAGCTGCGGCTGCCGCAGCTTTTAAGGGGGGGGGGGGGTGCCGCACCCTCTTAACTTGCCTTCAAAATCCAAAAAGCGCTCCATTGCTGGTATGAGTATTGAGCACATAGCTTCTTCTTGCTACACTGGAAATTTGGAGCCCAACGCTCCACCCATAAGAAAATTATGGCCCTTTCAATATGCCCATTCAAATCAAAATCAGCCGTCAGATTACGTGTGACTGTAAAGTGCAGTCACACAAAATCAGGCGTACAGCTCTTAGAAATCTGAAAACTCTCTAGAAAAAGCTGGTGTCCTCCAGAATGTCACACTTTGAGGTTCAGAGGTTAAGAGGAGGAAGAAGGGGTCGTTTGAGGGCTTTCACCGGAGGGGGGGGGGTTGTTTTTGAAAGACTTGTGCCTGACCTCTTTCTCAACTCTGGTAATGCTATCTTAGTTAGGTATACAGTTCAGGGTGGGGGGTCGTAACCAGCGATCGTGTGCCACACCCCTTGCTTGACCCTGGTAGTCACTTTAACCCAAGTTTCGTCCCTTAGGCCCCCGCCAGAGTGCCGAAGCCACTCCAGCGCTGCGCCGGCGCCGAGCCAGCGCCGAGCTGTCCCGTTTGTTCGGGGCTGGGCTAGATGACCCTCTGTGGGCAAGGGCTACCGG